TTTTTCAATGAAAAACATATTTGTTTGCATAAGAAATACGTATATAATCAAATTTTCTCTGGAGAGAGAGAGAGAGAGAGAGCATTTGTCGCTCAAATTCCCATTATATGTGGTTTTTATTTGTGTCGATAACATATAGAGAAACTACAAGAAAATGTATGATGATTGAAATTGTGTAGCCAAAGAGCCCCGGGTGTCTTAATAATTTTTTGTGGTAATACATATACACACACATTGAGTGCCGGGAAATGGACTTATTTTACCATTCATAGTGACAGGAAAAAACCTGGAGGGTTATAATGGTTTGGGTAGAGAGTTATATAATTCAATCAAAATGAACACCACTTGAAAATTCATGTATATTTTAATGATTAGAGGCATTGAAAGTTACCGTATATTTCCATACAACTCATGATGATTGAAATGTTGGTAAAATATTTATATCCATTATAACGGCACTTATTTTGTTGTAATTTTTTCAATTAATACCATAATTGAATTTTATGTTGAATCAGACTTTTTTTGTTGCATTAATTTATGATTTAATATATCATTAATAATGTAAATACTGTGCGTTTTTTTGAAAGTTATTTTTTCAATTTTATTATTCATTAATATTTTATTCGTTTTATATTATATTATATTTTTGTGTAACTATTTATACATAAGATTTATTTTAGTTTTTTGTCGGTTTAATTATTTATTTATCATGTTTTTTATACACATATCTATCGATGTCAGCATTTGATATACAAATTTTCTATACATTTACACAATGTTTATAATCTTAACACAAGTGTTGATTAGTTGTGTATAAATTGATTATCATTTTCATCACAACAGTGTCCACATCGATGGCCGGGACCTAAGTCTCGGACCACCAGATATACAAATAATGGACTTATCAAGTATTTTGGGGTGAAATATGCAACAAAACAATTATATCGCTAATTATTTCTCGGGATAACAACCAGTATTAGTTGGGGTTTACATAGAGTGTTATGAAAATATCATAATCCTATACATGCCGTTCCCCACATCCCTGTGCTCTCTGATAAAACCCTATTATCATTACTCTCGGCAAATATATTTACATTTTTATATCTCATTTTATTTCTCTAACGCAAAACCATTGCATTTCATAAGTATTTATGAAGTATGTATTGAATAATTGATTGTTGTGTACAGTACTGTATATTATATCTATCCCTATGCCTCCCGGCGCCCCAACTACTGGTTCACTACTTATATATTGTTCATATTCCTGAATCATGATCGTTTGCAATACACTATATATTGGCTTTATATAGTTTATATCGGGGTAATAGAGGGGTTAACTTATATAACAATAACACATTTCGTATTCATATGTATAATTATAAATTACTGTATATTGAAATTAATTTTAATTATTACTTTCGATACACGTTATGATTGTTTTTTCTCGGTATGTCTTTGCGTGTATGGAGTGTATCCAACTCTTACACACCGCAAACTACCATAAATTATAATACAATTTTTATGTACATTAAAAATTAATACATAGTTTCACAATATAGGTGTTCGCCTAATCTACCATAATCATTTTTCATATTAATTAGCTATAAATATAATGTCATTTAATACTAATACTATTATAAATAAAAGTAAAATTTAATTCACAAAAAAACAAACGGCTATAAGAGTTGTCCGATCGAGTGATACATAGAGGCGGCGGCACTGGTGGGCGACACCACCACCTCCTGCCCGCCCCCGGCAAACGGTGTGCCCATAACTCCTCCACCAAAGCCTAGTTTAGGCCTTACCTGTCCGGACAGATAACGGGTCAGTTTGCCGGTCCCGTCGCCCGGCGCTGGTCTCGAGTTGTGAGCACCGGGTGGGCTGTCTGTGCGCTGTTTGGCCGCCGCTTTGCTGTGTTTGTCGACCCCGTCGTGTAGTTTTCGGATATGCTTTTTGAGATCAAAGTTACGGCAAAAACCTTTGCCACATGTCATACACTGGTAGGGCTTCTTGTCGTTGTGGGTGTGCTATAAGGGATAGGGAGAGACAAATGATGTGATCACTTATATTAGATAATTATTTAATACTATGCGAGAGTGAGTGAGTGAGAGAGAAAGAGACCAATATAGATAAACAATTTGCAATCTAGTTAAAAGGCAATTAAAAGCAGTAATTTTTAAACGATTCACAGAGACATAAAACCTTTACATGCACATTTATCATAAATAGCATAAAAATCATGGTCTAGCATTTAAAAAAACAATCAAGCTCATTAATTAGCAAAAACACTTACCAAATGAAAGGTGAGATTATAGACCTGGTGAAAGGCCTTACCGCATATCTCGCACTTATAGGCCTTTTCGCCCGAATGCGTTAACTTGTGATTCTTATAATTGCCCTTTTGGTGGAAACCTTTGCCACAAAACTCGCATTTATAGGGCTTATACCCGGCGTGGATACGGATGTGTGTGTTTAGTGTTGAGCTCCGGTTGAAGGCCTTACCGCAAAACTGGCACTTATGGGGCTTTTCCTGTGTGTGTATAATCTTGTGCCGGCACAGTGTGGACGCCTGACGGAAGCCCTTACCGCACACCTTGCAGATGAAGGGTCGGGCGCCGGTGTGCACCGGCATGTGTCGGGTCAGGTTGTAGTGGGCGTTGAACACTTTGCCGCACTCGGTGCACGTGAAACATTTGGCTTTTGACCCGGCTGAATTACTAGCGGTAGCCGCAGTCGCAGCCCCGGTATGTTTGTTAATACCCTGATGGTTGGCCACTGTTGATGGGGCGGCGGCGCATCGGTTGCCTCCACCGGCGCTGTCGTGGACTCGTTTAGGTCTATGAATAGCGGTGGTTAGAGGTATCGCCGGTTGCGGCACCAGTAGCTGATTGGCGCCGGCATTCATCGGCGGTGTTATTGTTGGCGGCGATGTTCTGACAGATGCGGTGACAGACGGGTCGCCGACGGCCGCAGCGGCGGCCGCCATAGATCTGATGGCCTGATTGTGCAGATACTGTCGGTGGTTGTGCTCAACAACTGGTGGAGGGTTTAGGCTGTGCTGCGCCGGTGCAGTCATATGAACCATGGGTTTGGGTCGCGCGATATGATTAAACAAGTGGTGAGCGTCGGGTGCGATAATGGCCGGCAGCCTGTGGTGACCACCGGCGGCGACGGCACCGGACAGTGAACCAAACCGCTCTTTCAACGCTTCCGCGCCGTACGACCGGATGAAATGGTTGAGCATTTGCGGACCCGGAGGCAGGGATTGACAGTTAATCGGAGGGCCGACGGCCGGGTGCTGTTGCTGTTGACCACAATTTGCCAGATCTTGCAGCAAGTGATAGTCGGGCGCCATGAGTGCTGAGCACAGCCGCAGTGAGTCTATGTCGGGCACACCAGCGATGGCACCGCCGCCGGTGGACAGGGATGTGCTCAATAGGTTACGCATAACCCGCTCGTAGAGCATAGCGTTGATTGAGTTGTTGTTCTGTTGGCTATTATATTGCATATGAAGGCCGAGCATATGTGGCGGTCCCGGAGGGGGTCCGGCGGTGGCTATCGGCGGCAGAAAACCGTTGATAACAAACGGATCCATTGCCAGCGATCGCCACTTATTATCATCCATACTATGATTATTATTACTATTAATATTACTATTGTATGCGTTCATCGCGTGTTGTTTTCTGGCGTTATTATTATTATTATTACTATTACTATTGTTGTTGTGATGATAGGTCTGCTCTGTCTTACAGTTGGACTGTCTTTGTATGGCTGAGCACTTCTGGTTGTGGCTGAGCCGCTGGTGCTCTGCCGGCGATGACAACTGCCTGTCTTTGTCTTTGACCGACTGATGAGTGGATGTGATGACGGCATCCGAGTCGCTATTATTGGCCACACTTTGCATTATATTATCGATACTGAAGGCCAGACCGGCGGCGGATCCGTCTTTTGTCGGCGAAGTGATGGTTGCGGCGATGGCTGCGGACAGGGGTTTCCTATCCATCGGCGGTGACCCTCGGCTAACTGTGCCGACAATGGGTTTACACTCGTCATCGCCGGTGATAATCATTGTCTCTTTATTGGAAACCGACATCAGGGGTGTACACACGGGTTGTTACAGTCAGACAACACACACGTACAGGCAAATAATATTGGTTGAAAGCGATATAATATTGCTTAGTATATGCAATTTCAAAACTATAATTTGGTCATTAAATGCATCATGATGGGCATAAAAGTGAGAGAGCTAGATATATTCACCAGCGAATAGAGCATACATACAGTAAATATATATAGTGTTATATACTGTATGGTATGTTCATATGACTGCACATACTATACACGCGTTTGGATACAGATGTTGGGTATGGAGTGGAAAGGGAGGCGCGAGGAGACGGGAGGGGACGGTAAAAGTGCCCGCAAAACGTCTAGTGGTTGGCCGATAAAAGTTGCTCTACATTTTTGCTGCTCTGGTATACATGTATGTGTTGTATAAGGCATTTGGATAAAAGTATTGCTCTCTCTCTCTCTCTAACTATTCAATATATAATCTGATAAAAAGACGACGACTTATTCTCAGCCCTTTAACTCATCCGCACTGTCAGAAGAGAGAGAGAGAGAGAGAGCAACAGAATTGCACTCAATATCTAATATTGTTGTATATATTTTTGTGTTCAATTCATGTATTCGTTTGTATTCTTTATTTCGCCACCAGTGTTGTCGCATTTACTGCCAGTTGTATTGTATGGATACCTATGTGTGCAAAATGGCAACGGATGGGGGAAACGGCAGGTCTGGCATAAGGCCAGCGCTCAAAACACAACGAGTATATATCGGCAGCCAATGAGATGCCAGTCTCTGCCCGAGCGAAGCACTCGGTTATGTGTTATAGACTATGGGAACAGATGCTCGACTTGACAAATAAAATGATCATGATTCGCTTTGATACGCCCGACTCTCTCTCTCTCTCTCTCTCTCTCTCTCTCTCCTCCGCAAAATGTATTGTGAATTTTTGTGTGACATTCACTGCCATTACGGTTGTGTTTTTGTCACCTCGTTGTAAGTTTTATACATACTTTATATTCTTAATACATTCTATGTGTGTAAAAATGCAAATTATTTTTCATTTACAAATCTCTCTCTCTCTCTCTCTCTCTCTCTCTCTCTCTCTCTCTCTCCATATACTCAACAACCATTATATTTCTCACATATTGATTAATATATGCTCACTATTTATTGTTATAATAGTTGATGTGTTTTATGAATTGAAAATATTTTTTGTCAAGAGTTTTAGATTAAAAGTACTATATTTTTTTGTGTAGAGTATAAGAGTTTCCCCACAAATGAGAGAGAGAGAGAGAGAGAGAGAGAGAGAGAGAGAACTCTCTCTCTCTCTCTCTCTCTCTCTCTCTCTCTCTTCATATACTCAACAGCCATTATATTTCCCACGTATTGATTAATATATGCTCACTATTTATTGTTATAATAGTTGATGTGTTTTATGAATTGAAAATATTTTTTGTCAAGAGTTTTAGATTAAAAGTACTATATTTTTGTGTAGAATATAAGAGTTTCCCCACAAATGAGAGAAATAGAGAGAGAGAGAGAGAGAGAAAGAGAGAGAGAGAGAGACCTTTTATTAATGAAAACTAAAAATAATTTTGTGAATATTGAATAAAATGCTTAACATTTCACAATCGTTACCATTTTTAATCAAAAACCGCGTACACTATACATACATATTGTATAAAAATTGTATTATGGTTTTTGTATACTGTTAACATAATATGGTAAATTGGTAAAATATATATTGTAAAACTGAACATAATATGATAAATATTGTAAAGATTATATATTTAAATAGCATAGAGAATCTAACGATTAATTTTTTAATTATAAGATACCCGGCGATCGTCTTATCAATTATTACGGGCACAAGTAGTCAATACATACTGACAGTAAGTTAAAGGGCTGTGAATAAGTCGTCTTTTTATTAGATTATATATTGAATAGTTAGAGAGAGAGAGAGAGAGAGAGAGAGAGCAGCGGCAACAGGCAATGCCCGCACATCTATAACATCTATAACTAGTATATTGATACATCACATTTAATTCAACCGAGAAATTACCTCATAATATGTAGACATAGAAAACGTGTGAGAGAGAGAGAGAGAGAGAGAGAGAGAGATAGAGACCTTTTATTAATGAAAACTAAAAATAATTTTGTGAATATTGAATAAAATGCTTAACATTTCACAATCGTTAACATTTTTAATCAAAAACCGCATACACTATACATATAAAAATAACTGTGGTACCTTAACATAATATGGTAAATTTGTAAAATATATATGGTAAAATGTAACATAATCTGATAAATATATAGTAAAGATGATACATTTTAATAACACAATGTATCCAATGATTACTTTTTAATTATAAGATACCCGGCGATCGTCTTATCGGTGATTACGGGCACAAGTAGTCAATACATACTGACAGTGCGGATGAGTTAAAGGGCTGAGAATAAGTCGTCGTCTTTTTATCAGATTATATATTGAATAGTTAGAGAGAGAGAGAGAGAGAGAGAGAGAGAGAGAGAGAGAGCCAAGAAAGTGGAGAAGCGATTGATTTAAAAGTGAAATGATTTTCAAACCACTTATAGATCGTATGACATATTATATACACACTTAATAGAGAGAGAGAGAGAGAGAGAGAGAGAGAGAGAGAGAGAGCCAAGAAAGTGAAGAAACGATTGATTTAAAAGTGAAATGATTTTCAAACCACTTATAGATCGTATGACATATTATATACACACTTATGGTATATATAAAGAGAGAGAAAGTAGTAGTGGTTTGAAGATATCGATCGGCAAAACGGTCGACAACTACACCACCGATAAGTATCAGTTATATTGAGTCAATACAAGTACTACTCCTCGGGTTTCTTCCCTATTGTCGACACAATATACTAGTTATAGATGTTATAGATGTGCGGGCATTGCCTGTTGCCGCTGCTCTCTCTCTCTCTCTCTCTCTTTTATCAGTACTTCTATCTTACAAATTGAAGACCGCAAACACCTTATATATAGTGAACCGTGAAATACAGTGTTGATTGCATTTAGTGAGAGAGAGAGAGAGAGAGAGAGAGAGAGAGCACATATACACTGTAGATCTCAAGAGAGACGTAGGTATGGATACGATGGGAGAGGAGGACACGGCATATATACATAAGGCTTTATGACAAACGTCGGCAATACATAAGCTAAATGTGATGACAAGCGCTTAAGTGATGCTTGAGAGAGAGAGAGAGAGAGAGAGAGAGCAGATAAAAGGTGGGCATAAAAATAGATCAATAACTGTGTGTATATTTTGTAATATTAAATAAAAACTTATGTAAAAAGTTTGCATACAATGAGTGTTTATGGCTAATACTGAACGCCCGGCTAATAATCAACATAAATATACAATACATACAGGGAGAGAGAGAGAGAGAGAGAGAGATTTGTATTGTGTTTTAAACCTTGTAGTGAACACAAGAGCTTTGATTCTGTACTACACTATACCAGTGCTCTACCAGTGCTGTAGTGGAGGACTGACTGACATTGTTATCCATTCGTCTATTATATATTGATAGAGTGTACGGACGGACACAACTGACTATTCAATGCGCTTAATATACTGCCAGCGCTGTTAGTCCTGTTAGTCCTCTTACCATATAGGAAAAGCCGCATAAAGGGTATTATCATCATGCGCTTAGTAGCTAGAGCTCTCTCTCTCTCTCTCTCTCTCTCTCAACCATCACTTAAGCGCTTGTCATCACATTTAGCTTATGTATTGCCGGCGTTTGTCAT